CAGCGGCAGCAGTAGCGAGTTTGCCGAATGGAAAAACGCTTAACTTAACGGATGGCAAATGAGCGTGTGCGAGATAAAGAGAAGGAGAGAGTGAGTGTGCATGATATTTATGTGCGTTGTGTATTGCTCATTGTACAAAGCGCATATAAATGACGAATTCAATGCATTCGTCAATGGTTTTTTTTGTATTTTGCACAACAATTTCCACTCAATTTTTCTTCTCTCATTTTTCTTCGCTCTCTCCACCTCTCAATGCAATTTTTTCTTTCTCTCCCTCTTTTCTTCTGTCATAATATTCTGCTCGGAATTTGTGCAACACTTATTTTGCATCATTATAGATCTCTTCGCTTATTTTATTTCATCGTTAAATTATTGACATAAATGGTAAAGTTGATGCGTTTTTTAGCACTACATGAAATGTAGAGCTACTAATCTGCTTTTTTTTTCTAGATACTTTTTGACTACTCAAACTAATTATGGTGAATTTGTATTGTATGCTCATATTTTTTATTTAATTTAAAACAGTTGCAGTAACGACAAATAAGTGCATAATATCTCAAAGCGCCAATCAAATGTTTATCATCAAATGTTGTTTAAAAATTACATTAGTTTTTCGTATAATATTTTCTGAGTCTTGACCAGAATTAAAGTGATTTTAGATTCTATGTTCATATTAATTATTTAATTTAAACCAAAGGCAGTATATTTCAAAAAAGAAATAAAACCAAGATCTTGTAATTCATTTTGCAAATAAATATATTACTTCAAAGTTACTTTGATGGAATACATTTCATGTAGTGCGCCAAAAAATAGTTTGTTGTGAAACAACAAAATAGATTAAGTAACCAACAACTCAAGAACGCAGAGCGGAGCAAAGCGAAGCTCTGCGGTCTTGTTTTCTTTCTTACCATTTTTTCTTCTCCTCTATGCGCTGGCAAATCGCTTTATTTCTCTTGTTCGTACGTTCTTGCAGTGTTTCTGTTCGGTTTTTCTTTATTCCATTCTCGTTGAACGCGTTCTGTGTCGTGCATCTCATTTTCGCGAACGAAAAATGCGATTCCACGTCGTTGGAATATATCCGCGCTACGCATGAGAACGTGATGTGATTTAATGTAATACACATTACACACGCAGGGCGTTATGCCGTTACCAATCGCTTTTCAGCTATATATATATATATATTGTTTTACTTATAAGAGAGCCAGGCATAAAAACACAAAATTCACTGCTGTAAGTGGATCAGTCGCTTTTTTTAGTAGGTTAAGATGATTCTCGGTGCGCAATTTATTTATTTAATTAGGCAATATTCGGATTTAGGATGAGCGCGCGCGAGAGCCTAGCATAGGCAAAGAGAGAGAGAGAGGGAGAACGAGTCGCATGTAATTTGGGGTCGAAGGGGCCGCGTGCAAATAATATTTCTTTGTGTTCTGGCTGAGCCAGAGCAAAAACAACACACACATAAAAAATGGAATATATTTTCTTTGCCAACGGCTTTATATTCCTTTCTCTTTGTGATCGACCACCGAACAGATATATGCACAGTTCAATCTCTTCGTTGAGTCTTGTTGCCGTTGTTATTCGGTTTCGTTGGATACTCTCTCGTTGCTCTCGTTATTTTCGCTCTGCCTCTCTGGTTCGCCTGGCAATTTTGTCGCATTATGAGATTATGGATTAAACGACGCACTAATTGCACTCATATTCCATAAAATGAATCAAAGTATGTGTGTACAGTGTACAGTGAAGTGGATAGATAAATAGATAGACAGCGAGCGAGAGAGATAGAGGGGGAGAGAGAGAGAGAGAGAGAGAGAGAGAGAGCATAGCCGAGAGAAAAATTATTGCATGAACCCATCGCAACCGAACTCGAAAATAGACATAATAATTAATATGTGTGGCAAAAGCCATAATTCAATGACGGAATCATGGTAAATTATTCGATTTGACATGAAATATGGGCAGCAGAGAGTTGAAATGAGCAAGAGAGCTAGGGAGGCCAGAAGTAGAGCGAGCGATGAGAGTGTGAGAGAAAAAGAACAAACCAGAGCAATGCCAGCGCAATATCAATAGCAACACAGCCCCAGCAAAATACTAGTAACAATTCGTGTATTGAGCGTCGGAAATCAGTGGAACTCGGCTCTTGAGATGGAAATATCATCTCGTAATCGATGTATTTTATACGTACACTGATCATATAGCGATGAGAGAGAGAGAGAGTGAGAGAGAGAGTGAGAGAGAGTGAGAGAGTAAGCCGAGATATAGAGTGTTTGAAAGCTTGGTTGCGAAAATGTATAACGATAGACATATATTTATGGGTAACCACTTGTGAATTAGCGGCAGAACGGGAATGTCAGTGCGCTCGGCTTCAATTGCGCTTGGCCTTTTGGTTCGGTATCGGTCGGTCGCTCGTTCGCTCCATTTCTGCAAAATGAAGCCCAGTCGTATTTAAACTAAGATATTGATATTTGCAGTTTACTCTCGATTAAGATTTTAGATGATGATGCTCGAATTACGTGTGACTCGAATCAGCGTTCAATAGAGACAATTCGCACAACCCTCAACCGAATCAAAGATGCACTCAACCGAAATCAAGCGATTGAAATAGAACGAAACAGATGAGATAAAAAAATAGAAAACAACATCGACGAATTGGCAATCATATCAAATGCTGGAATTTATCAATCATTCAAATGGTTGTGTGACAACCACGGTCTCACATGCCATATCACACACACACACACACACACACACACAACTCAACGCAAATGGATTCGATTTATTTAGCAAAAATGCGTTTGGCAAAACTGTCGCAGTTCAGTATTCAGGCAGTTCGCTGGCTGTGTTGTGCGTGGGCGACTGAGAGAGAGAGAGAGAGAGAGAGAGATTGTCGTTGAAATTCAATCTGCATATCGAAGCGATGTGAATAAATTTCCCTTGCCGGTTTCTTCTTCGCTCATCACATGCTCACCATATTTATGTTTTGGTGCCCCAATATGCTCATCTCCGCTTGATTTCCTACTTCTTGTTTTCCGAATATGTGTATGTTTGTGTGTGTTTATTTGTCATTCGCTTTGCTTTTTCAACACACACACACACACTTGCCCAAATAGTTGTTGTTTTTTCCGTCTTGTTCTTCATCTTCAATCGAAAATTCAGAGCTACGGCTGAGAAACCGTGCTCTGACACAAAATGAGCCGCATATATCTATCTATATGCTGTAAACGTACTTATGTGCTTGGTGTGTACGTTTTTTTTTCTCTTATTTTTTTTTTTGTATTCGTATTTGGTCATTCTTTCATTTCCTTCGTGTTTTGAAGACCAAAAAGTAAAGTGAGCAAAAGAAGATAACAACGAGAGAAAAAAAACACTCATTAAAGTGAGGAAAAAAAAATCGGCACAACAACAACAGCAGCAGCACCAGCAACAGCGACGATTCATCTGTATGCAACGCTAGAAACCAGTTTAGTTCTTATGTTTTACTTCTTGTTTAATCGATATGTTTTCTGCTTCTCTTGTTTCATGGCTTTCATGTGTTTTATATTTCCTATATATCATTTTTTTCGCTCTCTTCTGTATTCGTCGTCGTCGCCGTTGCCGTTGTTGTTGTTGGTGCTGCTTTAGCTTCAATCAGTGTGTTGATGTTTTGCTGTCGTTTCAATTCGCCTAACACGTTCGCAAACGGTTTTTCTTCAATTTCTGTTTTTTTTACATACTGAAAATGCATGCGCTTCGAGCGCAATTCGCCTTTCGAAATACTGCACACGAGACAGTGCGACAGACAGAGGAATAGAGACACACACAGAGCGAGGAGAAAAAGTCTAAACGCGAAAAATTAGTCGAAAACAAAATAAGAATACAAAGATAGATCAATAGCGAAGGGAACAGAAAAAAAAAA